GGCTAGTGATCGTGAACATTTCTTCATATGTTTGTTGGCTGCCTGGATCTCTTCCTTGGTGAAGTGTCTGTTCATGTCCTGTGCCCATTTTTTAATTGGATTGTCTGTTTCTTGTAAAGGTATTGTAGTTTCCTATATATTTTAGAAATGAGTCCCTTGTCTGATGTGTCATTGCCAAAGATTTTTTCCCATTCTGTGGGTTCCTTTTTTACTCTCCTGGTGAAGTCTCTTGATGCACATAAGTTTTTTTATTTTTAGCATGTCCCAATCATCTATTTTGTCTACTTTTGTTTTTGTAGTTTTCAAAATGTTTTTTAGTCTGTGTATTCCCTGAAATAGTGCCCTCACATTTGTCCCTATTTTTTCACTGATGGTCTTCATAATTTTGGGATTAGAATTATTTTTGTCCAGTCAGTATACATAAAATGAGTATGTTATCATTACATAAGTGATCACTCAAGAGTTATTTCAGTACACCAAAAAAAAGCCAGGAGCATCGTTATGGATTGAAAAAAATCACTTATAGTTGAGAGATGTTCATAGGCGATCTTTCCCATTGATGTCTGGGTAATAGGAACAGACCTCTGTTTTGTGGCGAGGGCTGAATATTCATTCTCATTCAGCAAGCATTGCATTTGCTGAGAACTTCTTATATTTAAAGTACTCTTCTAGGCAATGAGGAGGTGGAGGAGGTGATGGCAGTGATAGTGTGCCATTGAGTTGGTTCCAACTCATAGCGACCTGTATAGAGTTTCCGAGTCTGTAAATCCTTACAGGAGCAGAAAGCCTCATCTTTCTGGTAGATTCAAACTGCTGACCTTGCAGTTAGCAGCCCAACTTGTAATCCACCATGTTCTCTGGGATCCTAATGATATAGCAGTGAACAAAAATCTTATTGAGCTTGCATTCTAGAGAGGAGGGGAGAAGGGAGACTTAAGTAAAAGATATAAAATGTTAAATAGCAACATATGCTATGAAGAAAAGAAAGGCTAGGAGGATGTTTAAGAGTGCGTTGTACATAATAGTGGGAGGGATATAATTTGGCAATAATGAGTGCTGGTTAAAAGGAACAGTTTGCAGTATTCTGCATAAGTGTTCCAGTCTCAGTTCTTTAAACAAAAAAATTATAAAAAGAAATCATTAAGCAGTATCATGCATTCTCTTAGTTGTCTATTAGTATACAAAACCCACTTCCATTGAGTCTATTCTGATTCATAGGGAATGTGTATAGGGGTTTTTGAGGCTGTAAATCCACTGGAGCAGAAAGCCTCATCTTTCTCCTGTGGAGCAGTTGGTGAGTTTGAACTGTCAGCCTTGTGTTTAGCAGTTCACTGCGTATCCAACAGCACCACATCTGGAAACAAATGATAATTACTGGGTTCTAACCGAGACCTACTGAATCAGAAATTCTTGGGGGTGGGGCCCAATAATCAGTGCCTTTACAGGCTCTTCAGGAGTCTTTGAAGCAGGCTCAACTTTGAAAACCATTCTTCTACTCTAACAGCAGCTTATGGCACAATTGAAAATTCATGAGCTTTGAGGACAGAGAGAATTAGGATTGATTCTTACTTCTCCCACTTCTCTGTATAGAGTTTTCCCTCTATAAAATGAAGATATAATACTTCCTTCCCAGAGTTGTTGTTAGGATTGGCTGGCTCAATATAAGTAAAGTATGTAATACTAGAACTGGCAAATTTAAGGCTGTCAATAAATGGTAACTACTATTATTCTTGGAGTCCTGGTATGGCGCTGTGTATTAATGCGCCAGACTGCAAAGCCGTTTGAACTGCAAGGTTGGCAGTTCAAGCTCACCAGCTGCTCCTAGGAAACCCTGTACAGGGTTGCTATGGGTCGGATCCGACTCGGTGGCACTTAACAATAACAACAACAACTATTATTCTTTGGGAGCACAGTGGCTCTATAGGATAAAAACTAGACTGCAAATCACAAGATTGGCAATTCAAGTCCACCAGCCACTCCAAGGGAGATAGATGAGTCTTTCTGCTCCCACAAAGATTTACAGTCTTGGAAGCCCTTTGTTGTTGTTAAGTGCTGTCAAGTTAGCTTTGACTCATAGTAACCCTTATAGGGTTTCCAAGGAGTGGCTCGTTTTGAGCCACCAACTTGCAGTTAGCAGTACAGTGATTATCCTACAGTGCCACATTATAACCGACTCAATGGCACTTAATAACAACAACTTCTACTATCCTTAATGTGTGTGTTTGTGTAAGTTTTAGGGGGCTTTTTGTCATTAGAATTATTGTTTCTGTTCATTAAATAAAAAAACATGTTTACATTTTTTCTTTTAGATTCAAATACTCAAGAGGTTAAGGACGTCTATGGACTCCATGGTCAAATAGAACATAAATTAGCTTTCCTGAGAACTTACGTGCCAAAGCAAATGAAACTTGTGCTCATTGGCCATTCAATTGGCTGTTATATTTCCCTTCAGATGTTGAAATATGCTCCTGAACTTCCAGTAAGTATCCATTAGGAGGTCTTGGAGATATTTGCATAATTCCTCCTCATCTTTCCTTCTTTCTTTCTTCAGCTCAGTGTAATAGCTCTTGTTTAATTCATTAATTGATTTAATTGACTTCAGAGAGAGGACTTCTTGGTAGCTATCTTATCATCCATCATATTATTGTGGACCTTTGTGAGTGTATGTACATGCAATGAATGCCTTTGAATTAGGGTTATGTGGAGTTTTTATGTTATACACTACTCTGCTGTGTTTTGTAAAGGAATGTTTAGGAGCAGTTAACAGCTTAAATCAAGACAAGAATGTTTTTATGGAGAGTCTTGTATTTTGCAAAAGTTTATGCCTCCTTTTAGGAGAACAATTTGTCATGAACACTCATCGTCATCAATGATAGCGAGACAAGTATCCTTACAGAACACCAAATCTTTATATTTTAGTAATAAGGCTAGATCCTGAAATTATTGCTGGCCACTTTGACACACACAGTCATTTAGTCCATCGCTAAGTACTCATTGGCTCCTACTGTGTGTCAGATACTGAGGGAGGCTCAGGAGACACAAAAGTGTACTTACAGTACACAGACATGCTAGTCAACTACCAGAGGCTTCAGAAGCAAACAACTCTCACTAGCATAAACTTTTGTTATGCCTCATTGAATCAGTGTAACAAACCATTATGAAATGTAATTTTTGTGTATTATTTGTTCTAGGTGTTTAAAACTAAAAACTACATTGAAAAGGGCGCCTGTGCCTACGTATTTGAAATAAAACTAGCATTACTATTCTGTACACAAAAGGAAGAAAATATTCATTTCTGTGTTTTTCGCCATCTACTAGTGTAATCACAGACCCGTCCTTTGGGCTACTGGTTTTTTTGGGGTTTTTTCCCTCCAGATCCGTCTGCATGCACGGTGTGGTTTCTCTTGCTTATATTTGATAACCGTTGTTCAGTACATTTGTTTTGAATCCCTTTCTCGTTTGGCTTGCATTCACAGTGTCTGCTGAGAAAGGAAGCATAATTCATCTTAAGGATAATGCTTTTTCTTAGAGCTGCTTCAGCTTTATAACTTTCTAATTAATGCTCTACTTTCAGGTGTCCCTGCTATTGCAGGGATAGTGATGAAAAAGGTGAAACATGAGTTTAACCTAGTATATTTGTGGAGACTTAACTCATGTTGTGATTGTAGTTTTCAGAGAGATATGTGAAACCATGTTTTATCTTCTTAAAAACCTCTAGAAACTAACAAGTGCTATAAATTGTTCATAAAGGTCTTCTTTTGTGGGGAGGGAGAAGGTGAACATCTGTATAATTTTTATTATTCCACATCTTTATCTGGATTCAATTAACTCTACATTGTTGAACTGCTCTCTCTCTCTCTTTCTTTTTCCCTTTAAACACCTGGGCCAGTTAATACTGGTGGTGCGATCCCTGCTGAAGTGTTGAAATTTCAGTGTCTCTGGGCTACTCTGAGAAGGCACAGTGCCTGCATGCCTGAAGTTAGCATGACATGCTCCATTTAAGATGCATTTGACAATCAAATAAATTTGTGTAAGGCAGAGTGTTGCAATCCATAATCATTTTGCCAAAAATAAGTTAGCTGTTATGTTTTATAGCATATGAAGTGTGATAATAAGAAACTTGTGTTTCCATCTCTTCTGTTATTTTTACTGGAATTTTTACTCCCATACGATTTTTTGCACAAATGTGTAGTTTAGTAGCTGGTTTATTTGGGTTTATTTTGGTTCAGTTCTTTGCAATATTTTTGTTACTAATTATAGGAAACTTTGTCTTAGAATCCTTATTTTAAGACATATTTATTATATATGTCAGATGTGTTATGTGACCTATATTTAGAGATACGGAAAAACTGAATTTTCCCTTTAAAAAGTCTGACATTTAAAAATGTTTGTTTCTTTACACAAATTGTTATTGTTATTAAGTGCCGTCGAGTTGATTCCAACCCATAGCGACTTTGTATAGATTTCTGAGGAGCAGCTGGTGAGCTTGAACCGCCGATCTTGCAGTTCAAATGACTTTGCAGTCTGGCACATTAACCCACAGTGCCACACCTAGGTACATATAATTATAGAAATGCTTCTGATATTTTGATAGTAATTTCCAGAAGAGAAATTTAAAAGAAGCTTCAGAAAATAGCATTTGGAAGTCTGTTAAATAGTAGTTGTCATGACTCATAAATATGATTTATTCTTAAACTCATAGGAACTTAGAACTGAGATGAGCTCTGGAGATAGTCTACCCTCATCTTTCATGTCATAGGTAGGAACAGAGAGAAAGGTGCCTTGCCAGAATTCAGCTTCAGTTCAGTCTGAGTCCAGGGCGGGGTACAGTTATATTTTAACCTGTGGATATAAAAAGAAAGTGTTTTATGATTGTTTCAACCTTTGAATGATAGCAGAGACTACAGCTAGGAGGCTATTTCTCTGCAACTAAATTCATGTGATTCATTTTGTTGTAGGTTAAGAGATGGGAGATCCCAGGAGTACTTTAACAATTTGGGGAGATGAGAATAAAAAGGCAGTGGTTTTATTTCTAGTATCCAGAATCTTCTTTTTCTCATCATCCATGCACTCTGTGTTTAAAATGTAACATCTGATTTTACCAGTAAGTCTTTTGCATAAAGTTCAAGATTCAGAGTTGGAAGCCCTTGATTATTACCTAGGCTTGGCAGTGAGTTAAGCAATTAGACTTCTATTTTCTCTTAAGAATTTGTATAGCATTTGATGATAACACCTCCATTACATGGATATTAAATATTTCAGAAGTTAAATTAAAAAAATATATATATATTATTTGGTTTTCCTTGGGGAAAATACTCAATAACAGAGTTTCCTTTTTCTGTTCTGTTGGCAAAAAAAAAAAAAATCTTTCTAAATGAAATTTCCAGACTACTTGAACTCACTCCTTGAAAACAAGACGTATTTATCCAATTGGATAAAAACTTAGCTAAAATGCATTATTGACTTATCTGTTATCTTCAACAATACATAATAAAGGATTTTTTTTCTTAATGATACGTGGGTATCATTTTGATAGGGCTATTATGTTAAATGGTAATCAAAGGAATTTTGCCATTGTCTACATTTCTTGGGTAATCGTGCTTTTCATTTTTAGATTTCTTGTGTCTTTTTTACAGTGTTTCTGTATCCTTCCTCAATGTTATATGCCACTTCTCTAATAGTAGAATTTATTGCTACTGATTTGCTGTAGGTAGAATAAATAGAACAATTCTTCCTCAAGTAACTGAAGATAAATGATAATAATAACAGAAGCAATATCTACTTGCTGCTGAGTCTATTCCAATTCATGGCAACTTTTGTATGTAGAGTAGAACTGTACTCCACAAAGTATTCAAGGTTGTAACCCTTTAGAAACAGACAGCAGCCGTTTCTCCCGAGGCTCCTGTGAGTGGGTTTGAACCACCAACTTTTCTGTTAGTAGTTGAGTATTGAATCATTTACACCACCCAGGAATTCCTAGATGAAAATACAAGAAAAATATAATTTTAATACTGTTAATCTACAATGTTAAGTTCACAAATTTTATTCCCATTCAGAGCCTCGATGTAATAACTTCTATGTAGACTATTCCAGTCTCGTGGGTAAAGGATAAGAAGAAACTAGTGAACCATGTGCTGCCATTAAATCTTTTGCCTGGCAGGCACACTTGTTACTTCTCATGTTTCATTGGACAAAGCAATGAAGGCTATCTTCAATGATGCTGTCAAAAGCAGTCCTCTTCAGAGAAAGGAAGCATACATTTATAAATAATGAAACAGCATTTCTTAATGTGCTAGAAAAGAAAAGAATAGAATAGAAACAATTAGAATATATAATGTTATAATAAAGGTATGGTGTAATTTTTGTTTTGATTTTTATGTATGTACATTGATGTCTAGATTACCATGTAGAAAATTTATCTTAATATGGGTAAGGGTTAAAAAAAAGTTTGAAAGTCAGTAATCTAGACTAGAGTATATCACAGAATCTAAGAGGAGAAAAAGGAATTGTTAAGAACCGTACCGTACAGGATTAGTTGAGTAAAGATGACCGAGGATTTTTCTTTTTTTTCCCTTTGTTTCACGAGAAGTGAAATCTGTTTCCCTCCTGGCTTGCAAATGGGATCTGGGCAGGGCATATAACTTGCATTAATAGGATGCATCAGAAGCACTGTTCTGGTACTTTCAAGCCTAGGTCCAGACTGGCAACTCTTCATCTTCCCTCTTAGAAGTCAGCTGCTATATTAGATGTCCAACTATTCTGAAATTACCATGCTGTGAGGAAATCCAAGCTAGCCACAAAGGGGGTCATGAGATGCTAGACATTAGAGTGATTCCTACTTGGTCCTTTCATCCTATCCTTTCTCCCCAGAATACAGCCAAGTACAAGTGACCCTAATTGATGCTACATGGAGCAGAAAGACTGTCCAACTGAGCCCTGAATTCTTGACCCAAAGAATCAAAATGGTTATTGTTTTAAGCCATGAATTTTTGGATGGTATGTTTTGTGGCAATGGAGAAATGAAATAAGGCAACTTAGTTGAGTGGTAACAAAGATCGAAGAGAATGAAGATTTGAGAATTTGGGTATTAGTAATTAAAAGAACACTGGTGCCCTTGAAGAAAAACATTTTTAGTGAAATTATGGAAAAACTACAGGATCAATGGATCTTGTTGTTATATGCCATGCATCACTTCTGACTCACAGCGGCCCTATTCACAAAAGAACAAAATGCCTCCTGGTCCTGCTCCATCCTCACAATTGTTACGTTTGAGCCGTAGGGAGATGTCTTCTTTTTCTTTGATCTTCCACTTTACCAAGCATAATGTTATTTTCCAGGGACTAGTCCCTACAGATAAGATGCTCAAAGTATGAAATACAAAGTCTGTAAGGAGCATTTTGGCTATACTTCTAAAACAGATTTGTTTGTTCTTCTGTTAGTCTATGGCACTATTAATATCTATTCCAACACCCTAATCAA